TCTCGCTGTTGCCATTCAGGCGCTCCACTGTGTTCCTCGCCCCCCTTAGCTGTTAAAACTGAAGGGGCACAGTGGAATGCATTTAAAAGTTTAAGAGTTTTGGTGGGAATTATCAGTTGTTGCTTCTTTTCCTCCAATCAAATTATACTCTTGTTTTATCACTGTCCTGTACGGCCCACTCTATAAGTCTGTCAGCAGTTTATAACATTGGTTGCTGAATTATTAATTCAAAGCTCTCTAGTTATTGAGCATACTGCAGGTCACTTATGCTTCTCTTACAATTATAAAGGAAACTTGACTCTAGGATGTCATTGTCCCTAAGGTGGTGTAGCTGGTTTTCTGCTGGTTTTCTGTTTCCACTGGCATAGAGTTTGGGAATGCTTGGTTCTCCTGTAGTTGAAGGGTTGAAGTTTTAGCTCATTTTTGGATCTTTGATGTATATTGTAACAGTAAGCAGCCTCTTGTTACCTCCCCGCATGACAGTGTTTTGAGAGATTGCATTTTGAGCGTTGCATTTTTAAATTTGCTCGTTATATTTCCACCTTGCAAAATGACGAGAAAGATTCCTGTTTTCCTCTCCTTCTATGTATTTCTCCCTCTGTTTGGTGTCGGCAGACCCCTGTTTGTGTGTGGCACCAGCACACTATCTAATGAGCTCAGAGGAATTGCTCCACGGGAAGAGTGACAGCCTCTAGTTACGTTTCCAGCACCTCTCCTGATGCACTTAAATCACAACCACTTCCAAATGTATCTTTACAGCCATGGATGCAGTCTGTGACTTACTCGTCTTTGAACACTGTGGATGCACGAAACTCTCCAGAAACTGGTGTGTCTTGGAAAATGAGAGAAACTAATATTAATGTATATGCTATAGCATAGCAGGTTAATAGATTTACACTTTTCATCTTGTTACGAGGCAACATTCTGCAATGCAAACGTACACACTTTTAGCTATGAGGGTACCAGCTACCAAATATGCTTTGCAGACTAATCGCTCCACTACATGGCGATATCTCTGTCAGAAGATTTCACATCACAGATTCTGATGTGTTCAAATTTCTCAGATGCCAATCTGACTTGATGGTTTAGGTGAAAACCAAGCCTCATCCCCACACAATTCCACTATCAGGAAAGCCCAGTGGATAATTTTCTAAAACTATCACTTGATTTAATTAGAGCCTTACAGACATGGGAATTTGATTTCTGATACCAATATCAATATTTTGGTTTTTAAAAAAGCGATATCCGATTTATAGGCCAATATCACTTATTGTTCGATATCCGATATACATCGGCCAGAATATAAAAAAAATACACTGTCCAACTATGTTCCAACTCAAATTATCAGAATAACCAAAAATATGACTCTAGACAAAGAACCAAAAAATAGAACTAAAATAAGCTACCTTAAGTTGTGCAATGTCAACATAGTACCAAAAAATACAATCATCTTTTGTGGTGCTTATCATAGGTTGGGATTCAAAAGTATAACCCTTAAAGTAATGCAATTCTATTTAATTTCTATAACATTTTAAATTTCTAAAAACTATTATTGCTAGCATAATTCAAAAGGGAAAAAAAACTTTATTTGAATGCAGCTTATCTATTACATTTGAAAACAAATTAAGCAATCCTCCTAATGCCACCTTTAAAAAGTAATTAAAACAATTATGTATAATATAGCAACATTCTCAAAAGCATCTGTTGATGAGACAAATTCTGAGTGAAGAAGTCCAAGACCATTAGGTAGTTTAAAATCTCCTCAGCAGAAGGCACTGGACATTGTTTGACTGTCATTGTTGACAGACTGCTCAATAATCAGTGCTGTACTGACAGACAAAGAATTCCCGTCCTTCTTGGTAAAGTTTATTTCAAGCTATTTTAAAGGAGGCACCCACAGATTCAGGAAGAACAATGTTATACCTACAACCAAATGGAATTTTCCATTTCACAGTTGCTGAGGGGGTCGTTAGTGTTTGGTTTTCTGGTTTCAGATGTGTTTGAGGATTTGGAAAAGCCTACAGTGTCACTCTGTAGATGGTGCTGTGAGAGCATGGGACTGCTTTTAAGAGCTATCTGGGCTTTTTAAACTGAAAGCAAAAGCTTTGTCTGCATCTCGTGAGATACTGCTTCTTTTCAGTGTGGGTTGGTCTGCCCCTTGTTTCTCATCCTGTTTGTTTCATGGACTTAAAATCAAAGTCTGTTTGTGAAAAGGAGGGTAAATTGTTTCTTTTTTGCAGAGGATGGGGTTCTGTTGCCTTCTTTTACATTGACCATCAGTAGGCACTGCAACAGCTGAAGAAATTCAGACGGTCTATGTCTAAAGCCATGGTTCTCAACTTTAAAAGAGTGGACTGTTCCCTGCTGCTTAGATGGTCAGTCTCTTGTCTAAAGAGATGTTTGCGTACTGATGTATTGTTCATGTGTGTTAGGATGGAGTGCAAGATGGAGAGACAGATTGCTGCCTCATCTGCAGGAACAGTATTGCCCTGTTATGGTGAACAGATAACTTAGGGAAAACTTTAGTTTACTGGATCATCTACTGAGCCAAAAGAATAGGAGATCTGAATTATCTGGAGCCCACCTTTCCACCTCCCCTTGAGGTTTTCCTAAACTTCCTGGCCTGGGAAAATCTCTTGATCCATGAGAATGAGTTAGAGAATGTTGGTAGATGAAAGGACGTCTGGGCCTGTTACCCACCCAACCCAATCTTGGACAGACGGACGGATATTTTTTTCACTGTAAGAGCCATTATTTTGTGTGCTGATTAGTAATGGTGTTTGTCTATTACAACTTTAACTTCCTCTTACTCTTAGGTAAATTTTAGCTAATTGGTTTGTTGTAAATACATCAGCTACCTTTCCCCCTCTCAGCAAAGGCAAACACACAATGCTTTTTGCCACAGGTATAGCTGTCTCAAATCTAAAGTTTGCCAACTGTCATGAAAATTGCTATAAACTCATTACTGAGGCAAATATGATTTTTCAGTTTAGTAAGTTCATGTTGTTCCCCTCAGAGAAAAGCTGGAGAAAAACAAATGAAAAAAAGGGTTTTTTTGTTTTCCATTGTCTTTCACCAAATATATCTGTACAAAATTCACTATTTCCTTGCAACAGCCATCTGGCTCTATCTTAATTTTAATTATTTTTTATTTTTTTGCTGACTTTGTGTGATGTGCAGAGATGCAGAGTAAAAGTTCAAGATATTTTTTTATTTTTTTGTAGAACACATTATATAAGTGAACACAAATCAATGTGCTGAGTTGTACTTTTTATACATTTATAATCCTACGTGTGCTAAAAGATCCAACAAAATCCCGAAATATTTCACTATTTTATTTTATTTATTTTAGTTTCAGACAAATTATAGTGTACTATATGGTAATCAAATACAGTAAGCCTTTTACTGCATTACAGCAGAGCACCAAGCAAACCCATGCCGCTGAGGATAAAAAAGAAGACAAAGTGCTTTCAGGGGGATATGCAGCAGCATATCTATGCAAGTAGATAATTATTTGTGGAGTATTATCTGATTATTTTAGATTAATGATAGTCGACGAAGAAGCTTATGTGGAACCTTCCACACCTTTAGCAACCCCTTGTAAAGATATGTTAAAAGCCTTAAGATTAATTAATGATTTGGGTCATTAGCCTTATGTAACATTCTGACTAACTCTACATATTGTCATGAATAGAGAGATTTTTTTTTTTTTTTACCTCACTTATTTTTGAAGCAAAATACCACTGTGCTTTTATATTGCATAGTTTATGAAAATGACAAGTAATTGCTTGGTCTATAGAAAAGTATCAAAAGTTGATTAGCTATTGTCTGACTCACGGAGCCCAACACAAATATGGGTAATTTCTCATCTTTTTCAAATCAATAAGGTCATGTTATTAAAAAAAATCACAGAAAACCAAACTAAAAATGTAAAGGTATACACTGAAATGCCGAAGTTGCATTTCTTTTTTTAAGAATTGTCTGTCCAGTACTAATATAATCAGAGTTTTTGATGAAAATGTTTTTTTTGTTGTTTTTTTTACTCAGTTTTCTTACCCTTGCTAAATCAGTATGCTGAAGTTGGAGTTTTTATACATCTGTTTGGGGAAACCATTAGAGGTTGAAAAGTATATTTTCTAGGTACCTGTAATAAAACAGTTATGTGCTTGTTGTGCAATCCTGGGTTTTTAGAACTAAATGAAGCATCTCTAATATGTCTATGTGTAGTGCCGTAATCTGAAACCTGACCAGTTTTTTTACCATGTGTGTTTAAAAAAAAAAAGAAAAAAGGATGGAGCTGCTTTGCTTAGCAGATATCCACACTGTCTTTTGGTACATGAAGTTATCCGACTTACCCCAAAGCCTTATTTGTAAAGGCTCCTTTTATCTCAGTCAGAGAGCTGCAAATCAAAGACCAGCAGAGCAGTCAAAGCTGAACATCTTTTTTGTTTGAACTTCGACTCAAATAAGTTTTTTTTTTTCATTATACATTTTATTTCACTGTTCATGATCTTTTCATGTATAATAAGCAACTGGTTGAATTTTCTTTCCAGAATGTTCAGAAGTGAAGACCACTGTGTGACTGATTATTTAAATATAGATTCTCCCCTTTGTACTCCTTTTGCTATTAGCACTAAGAGTTTGGATTGTGCTCCTGCAGTATCGCAGCAAGACACTTACCATACTTGATTATCATACATTATCATTTTATGTTTCTGAGACTTATGGAGAAATAGAGAAATATTTTTTTTTTCGGTTTTGGCAGATTATCTGTCTCTATTGATGTAATATTAATGTTTTACATTTTTTTTAAAGTCTTTCTTTCTCAGAGCCGGACAGCAGACACAAGCTTTGTAATTTGAATCAGATGTGTGGCTAATGCCCATTTATTCTTTGTTTGGGCCTGACTATTATCTCAGGGCTTTCATTGCTGCCCAAGGATAACCCAGTTTGGAAGGCCATGTTTTTGTTTACAGCTTGCTCTGTCCTCTCATCTCTAGGCCACTGCTCTACTTTGCTGCTGTAAGGTAGGGCAGCCCTACTCTGCCTGGGAAGCAGCATCAGACCGACACACAGACCCCCTACCCCACCAGTGAAGAGTTTTCCTTTTAATGGATGCCCAGGTGGCCCTGCCGATTGTATGGACAGGTCTTGTCCTGTTGAATGCCGAGTTAAAGTGGATTGATGCTGCCGAGATCTTCACCAACACTTGGGCTGTCCAGGTCAATGGGGGCCCTGAGGAGGCTGAACGCATCGCAAGGGAGCACGGCTTCATCAACTACGGCAATGTAAGTTATGCGCCTAAGTTACTTTCTCTGGGCTTTTTACGTAGACATTAAATCCTCTGCATGGAAGTATTTGCAATTACACATTGGGCTGAAAAAAAAAAGGGATAAATCCATTATTAAAATATCTAAGTTGGTAATCAGACATTAATTGGAGTATACAGGCTCTAACACATGACATTTACTGCAGAGGTCAGAGCAGTAATTATGCCAAATTGTAAAAAGTATATAAAAATGTTGCATTAAAGATTAAAAACTTCTTTTGCACATAAAATATGTTCTATTCTAACCTCCTCAACAGGCATAGTTTGAGCTTAACTTGGTTTATAATCTGTGTAAAATCTTTTTCAGAGGCAGGTTTTGATGCCCGATGATTGATTGGTAAAATACTCAACAGATTAATCAATTAGTACAATAATCATTACTTGCAGCCCTAGTCATGCACAGGGTGATATTCTTCAAGTATTAAGACTATTAGATTATGCCAGTTTATAGCTTGTAAAAACTCAAAAGCCAGTTCCTCAAGTTATAGAGTTAACCTTTGATGCAGGATTATTATGTCATTGCCAAGTTATGGACCATACAGTCTAAATGGTGGCGTGCAGGCTCAACAGTTGTCCAGCAGACTGTCGCTATTTCCCTTCACAGTGATGTTTGAGGCTACTGAATGCAACATAGCAATGGAAAGTTTACTGGAAGGATAAAGTGTGGCTAGAAAGACATCCACAAGTAAAGCCAACTGAAGAGATTGGGAAGCCTCACAAGGTGATGGAGTTCAGCTGTTGAAGTCCTTCTTTTCAGCAACTTTTGAACTAGAAACCAAATCTTACCAGAGCTAAGGAGGAACATTACTGGAGTCATGTTCAATGGTCAAAAGTGCTCTTTTCAGATTTAAGTAGATTTTGCATTTAAATACTAAATATTTTAAATTGTAATGAATATATGCTTAAATATAAGGCTTAATATCTTTAATGACATAATGGGAAAGGCTTAATGTCCCCCTTGATATTTTTTTTTGCAATTCATTGAGATGCACCTTCTCTATGCATGTCTAACGAAGCCAAAAAGTTAACCAATAAGCAATGTATTTATTACAATGTAGCTGGATATTAAAGCTGGGAGTCAGACAGTCTATTATAAAAACCTCTAGGCATTTCTTCTGCATTGTTCTACATCTCTAAAATGTAATCTCTTGCAGCTCTTGGAGCTTAACAGGAACATTGATGATTTATTAGCACCCTTGAAGACTATTGTTTGCAAAAAATCAATACAAGGTTCAATTAATAATCCTGTTCTACAAGGTCAGAAGGGAGGATGTCTGTTTTGATTAGGATTTAATTGCATATCCGTCTGTTATTGTTAGATGATTCAAATTAATACGGTTTGGTGTGTCATACAATGTTAACAATAAGTGAAGGTGCAGATGACAGAGCAGTCCTCTCATTGGTATTTTAACAACTTCACTTGAATATCAAAATGCTAAGCTTTCTCATATTTGTGCTCAATACTTTGCAGTGAGTTGCTGTTTAGTTTCCATCTCCCTTGTTGCTCTTCTGGAGACTTAAGTTTATTTGCATGTGTCTCTGTGGAGCTGCCGGAGTACTACAAACGCCAGTGAACAGACTTCTGCATCTTAAGAATAAGAAAGAGTTCAGTGTATTCCCTTCCCTCCTCCATCCAACACAGATAAAGAGGATTTTCCAACAGAGAGGCTTTTAAAATTAATTTTTGCTCAGATTAGGGGAGTTATTGTGTGAAGCTTTCCCCCTCTGCAAAAGTTAGAGTCATATTCTCCCTTTCCAAACTGTTGTTACTAATCACATACTGGATGCATAAAGAGATGTGTGCCAGTTGTAAATGCTCTCTTGTCCACTAAGGATATATTAAAACATTTACCTAAAATTAGACAAAAAGCCTGCCCAGTAAAGGGACTTCTTCTCTGTTACATTTTTAAGTCAGTTTCAAATGTATCTGTGTTCAGTTATGGAGTAAAATAATAAGCGAAGACAAAGACATCTTGATCTCCCCCTCTTCTGTTCATTATCCACTAGATTATATTTAGATCTATTTTTCTTCTCGGTTAATTAGTGATAGTTCAAGACAAGCCTCCGTTTCAGGAAAACAAACAACTCACTCATCCAGCCTCAGCAAGCACTTCAAGACCTTTTATCTCTGATGCATCATTTTTGCATGCTTTTATCATTAATGCTTGGAGGACCCAAATAATTGATATTTCAGTATCTTGTCCTTAAAGGATGTTTGGAGGAACAGTGATGGTTTAAAGGCTGTGTGCACTGCTTGTATTCTGGGTATTGGAAAGTTACACAAAGGTTATGGGTTAGGTGAGGTTTATAGAGCTTGGAGCTTAAAGGGGAAAAGGCTTCTTAATTTTCATCACCTTTGATGCTTGTTCTGTCAGACACTTGAGGAAAGAAAAGAGGCGGATGTATAATGAGAAGGTAATGGGATTTTTATCACTAATGTGATTATGGGATCATCGTTTTACCGATTATTTGTTCACAGCAGTCCCTAGAAGTCTTTTTTTCCTCCTTGGCGGAGTCCTATGTATCTCTGGATTTTCTCATTTTTCCAAAGCCTAACTTTCTTTAAATGGATTTTTAGGGAACATGAATTGTGTTCATCTTTGTACACATTTATAAAAGTCTTATATCCCAGGGATTAGGTTTAAATTTCATTGAGGCATCCTAGTGGGCGGCGGCATTAGACAAGTTGTCACAGAACATCATTATATCAGTTTCTTTTTAAATTTATCAATATATTTTTTTCTCTTTTTCATTATTAATTTATTGTGTTTTTGTAGAGGTTTTGCATTAGAAGAGAGTTTACTGTAAAATGTCATGTTGTGCTCTTGGAGAGTTGAGTCAGAATCATAGTTTTCATGAGAATGGGCAGTTTTCTGGGTGTTGACAGACTGAATCACCCTGGAGTAGACATCTATCAGAACCTCTCTATATTTCTGATTCACTTTTTCTGTTTATAGCTCTGGTTCCATTTAGTCTTACCCTCCTAATCTTTTAAAATTATGTCACATTGAAATCACAAACTCCCATGTTTTGGTGATATTCTGTGACTTAACAACTTAAAGCAGTGTCTAATTGTGTATTCAGATTTGAGACATATATGTAAGTGGAAAGCTGGAAAGAGTGACATGCATTTGTATTTAGCTTCCCTTCCTCAGTATTTTTAAGAATCGCTTTTTCCTGCGAGTATAGATTCAAGTACTTTTGGGTAGAGACATTCTTAAATACAATATTGCTTCAGTTTAGTCAGACTGAATAGAAAACATTAATGAAGAGCAATTTTCAAGTCTTGCCACAGACTCTCATTAAGATTTAGATCAGCATTTTGATTAAGCCATTATAGCACATTGATATGCATTCATCTAAACCATTATATTTTCAATTATCAAGTCTTTTAATTTATTACATTTATTATTTTTATGATGTAAGCCTGATGCAATTTTCAACTCATAATGCTTATATAATAAACATACATACGTTTAAACCATTTAAAGATGAATGTAGAACAAGCATCCTTAGAGAAAACGTCAAAATGTAAAAACAAGTAAATAAATGTATGTGGAATGTGGCATGTAGTGTTTGTACTGAGACGGTCTATGAGTCTAGGCTGGACCTTTATTTGATTTGCTGCAGGGATGTTTAGTGTCTGCCTGCAGGGGGACGATTGCTTTCACAGCTTTGGGAAATAAACTTTACCTTAGCCTGTTTTATTTTGATGTAATGTTCCTGAGTCGTTTTCAAACAGAGACAAGTGCATTGCTCTGGCTATAGGGTCATTATCCCGCTGAACGATGAACCTCCTCCCTCATGGAAATGTACCTTTGTTTTCCAGATGTCTCCTGGCTTTTCTACATGGATAGGTCAGGCTTTAAATGGAATATCTAACAGCTTTATTTCAATATTGGCTTCCTTTCTTCCATTCTACCCTAAAAGACCAGATTTGTTTAGTGGAGGAAAACAGGTTTTCCTGAGAACAGCTTCTCCTTCCTCTGCTGTGGAGCTTCGTAAATCCTATGTTTTTCATCCTTATGATGATGTGTCTTCTGTAACAAATTGTCTAAGCCTTGTCTAGAACAATACATTTCAATGTTCACACTGCGATTAAATCAGTTGTACACAGGTGTAGACTAAAAATAGATGAATTCTAAAGGGCAGTGAGTTGCACTTGTTGAAAGAGTGTGTTTTTGTGTGTATACATGTATTTGTTTTTGTTGCCTATTTATCATTTTGAGATATAAACTAGTACTGGTACAAGAGGTACCAAAGGCCAAAATATATGTTGTGAATTAACTTTAGGGTTAGCACTATACTGGAAATACTTAGGGTGAAGTAAAGTGAAGAGGGTTCAAATAGTTTCTTTTTTTCTATAATATTATAATGCAAGACTATCCTGTCTGTCCCACTTAAAGTAAATCTAGGGAAACATTTTTTAAAGATATAATAAAATATTGTTGTTGAAATGAAAAAGAGGGAAACATGAAAGGGTACAAACAGGCAATGTAACGCACTGGGTGCTCCGTGTGGCACAGTTAAATCTGCTGCGTCGAAGCAAGAAGGTTGTGGCTCCAAATTGGGGGCTGGGCCGTCTCTGCTTGGAGTTTTCATGTTCATCTCTCTGGGTTCTGTGGTCCCCTCCCCCAGTCCAAAAACAGGCATGTTAAGTTAATTGGTTCCTCTATTTTGCTTTCTGGAATGAGTAGATGTTAGCGGGAAAACAATTCTGCAACCAATTTTTCTGAAGACCCTCACATTCAGTGCTACATACAGTAATGGTTATCCAAGATCACAGCCAATTAGTTCCATTTTAATTATTTGACACACATCAGGAAGACAACAGGGTCTAACAGTTTGAGGTGCCTGCTACCCATTTATATGATTTAATAATTGCTATAACCTTAACAAAAAAAAAAAGAATAAAATATTGAAATGGTACATTGTTTCTTTTATTTATGAGCTTATTAC